GGGAGCCATTCAGCGCTGCTTCCAGCTGTAAAGTCAGAGACATCACTCAGTGTGGTGAGAACTTGGCTGTTGAGGAACAGCCTCCACCAGCATGTCTTAGATGTGCCATGTGACAGCATGCTTTTTTAGCTTAAGTTCCTACATCTCAGTTCTAGTCTCAGACAAAGTGAAAACAAACTGCATTAACCTTAAAGCGCTAGTTATTCATCTTCTTCACTGCTATGTGCAATCTTAAAACCCAGACCCCTCCATCTTCATTTTCATTGACTCCTCAGGTTCTGAATTCACACTTTTTCATGCATGTTCTTCTGGGTGAGGAATGTGCTTTTAGCATTCCTTCTAACATTGTACATTCTAGCAAGATTCACTGGTCTCTGACCACATATAGATGTGTACAGTACTTGGTGTATACTGCACCCAGCACACATTCAGTAGTCATCACCATTTCACTGCAAGCGTTCCACACTGAGCAGTGCAATCCTGAGAAAACCTGCAGAAGAGTTCAGACCAACAGGCAGTGTAATTTCTGTTGTAATTCCACTGGGAATATTGATCTCTACTGCTCTGACCATTAAAGTTTAATTTACACTTTTGAAAGCAATTAGTCTAATATTTTAAAACCTTTTTTAGAGTGGCAGCAATTAAGGTGATTGTTCTGCTCTGATGTGTTTTCTTTTGTAAGAATGAAATTTCTCTGATGGGTTTCAAATGATTATGTAGATAAAGGAATTTATGATAAAAATGACCTAGAAAATCTAGAACTTCCAGGTCCTCCAGTAAGAGCTGAAATTGTTTCCTCGCTGTTTCTGAAATGAAAGGGAATTGCCATTAAATGAACGTGACTTGTCATTTGATCAAAACAATGAACAAGACTGAAGGTAAAAAATGTAAAAGAGAAAAAGATATGAATTCACAAGGGGTTTCTTAGTTTTGGCAGGCTTAAATAAAGAGTCACCTTCCCTTTAGTTTATAGTTGTCATAATCTGTTTAGAACTTGTAATTTGCCCAAACATTAAAAAAATCCAACAGTGGTAGCAGAAAAAAAAAAGATATGTAAAAACATTGATACAGAAATCAATTATGTTAGCATTTGCAAACATTATTTTGGATGAGACCTCAGGAATACTCTTTCAGAGAAAGCATGTTCAGAGATGAAGATTTTTCTTTTCCAGATGTGAGAAATTGCCCAAGTATACCCCACAAAACCTATTCAAATGTTTCTGCAACAACTGTTTCTTGCTTTCCGATCAAAGTTAAAATGTTGGCAAAAAGAAAAAGTTGCAAATGTTTCTTCAGGAAGGGGTAAAGAGTTTTGCCTTCTGCACACAAGTTTAATAGTGCTACCATTTATTTTATATTTGCTAGATGTTTATGAAGTAATATAAATACCACTTGAGCCGAAGTAGCCCTATGTTCTCTGCCAGCTCCAGGGAGAGCAGAGCCACTGGGCTGGGACTGTAGCTTCATGGGCAATAGACGAGTGATAGCAGAAGCAAGGACAGGTGGACAGGTATCTCCTTACAGCTTGTCTCATATTCATGGATAACATCCTCAGCCCACTGGGGTAGTCCCTCTCCCATCCCATCGCTGCGTGGGAGAAGCCAGACTTCGGCTCAGTGATGTCCCCATCCTCTCCTATCAGCTCCTGCTTTCCAGACGTGCCCTTCGTCTGTGGGTGCCTTCGCAGTGTGAGGTCATGGGCTACAGGGAGGCCCACCATACACACCAAGGGGTACCACGGATAAGTGCCAGACCGTGGCATGAAGTAGGGTTGGGGATACTTCCCTCAGTCCGGGGAAGGAGAGTGGTCCCAGGGTGAGGGAAGAGCCCGTGGCACCAGGGCTGTGGAGACGTTTCTGACGGTCCTCTGGGAGCGGCAGCGTCATCGCCATGGCAACCTGGAACTCCGAGCACACGCGCGAGGAACCGCGTGCGGCACTGCCGCGGTGGAGGCGGCGGGAGCTCCGTGCCGCGGGACCGGCGGGCTCCATCCTGACCCCGAGGGCTCCATCCCGCCCCACTGGCCATCGGAACAATCCGTAAACCGAGTTGCTGGGTCACGGGAAGGCTGGGACAGACTGCCATGGTGAGTGTTATACGGCCTGAAGGCAAGAATGTCGTCTCCAAAACGGATGCGCTGTCTCCTCTGTTGGAAGGTAGGAGGGATCCCAGGGACTGGAGGCTCTGCAGGGCCGGTGCTCAGAGGGGCTGTGCTCACTGCTGTCTCTAAAGTTGGAAATATCCCTGTGGTTTCTCTGCATTTCACATGCCAATTCCCAAAGAGCATGAGGAGGGCTGTACTGTTGTTTATGGGATACCTCTGGCCTTAGTGTGTTTTGGGAAGGTGTGGGTCAGACCTGCTTTGTGTTCTGATGAGGGAACCTGTCTTTCTCCACAGGCTGAAAATAGCAGGAAGAGTTCTGGAGGTATGTACACTCCAGTGCATTCATGTATGTAAGTGCCTTATCTCCTGGAAATGAATGGGACAGAGGATGGGGCACATTGGGCACAGGTGGCATCCCTGGCTGCTGGAATGCTCCAGAATCCTTGTCTGAAAGCTGCAGTTGAGTGCATTGCATTTTTTCTGAACCAGAGATGCTCACCATCAAGGCAATTTGCTTACTGGGGCCCTGTATTCCTCTCTTGGGGTAGTTCCCAAACCTAGGGGATAATTTGCACTTTTATTTCTGTTCTTCTCCTCCCTAACTGCCTGGTTGGAGGCCTCTTGCAGCTGTGATGCTGAAAGAGTGCTTTTGGGGTTGCCCAGGACTCTGAGACACTGCAGGGTGAGAGCTCACAGATCAAGGGCTGCTTGTGGCCAGGGACTAACTGAATAGGAAGCAGCAGGCTCACTTGATAAAGATGTCTCATTGCTGGCTAAGTGAAGCTAAATGTTTTATTCTTCTAATACTGGCTTAAGTCCTGGGAGTTCTCTTTAGCTCGGCAAGGAGGGCATTACGCTGATGAGGCTGGAGAGCAGCCTTCTTGGGGGGTTTCAAAAGAGCAAGGCTTATTGAGATTGGGAGCTTTCCTACCCCTGCTTTGTGAGCTTGGTAGCTGCAAGAGCAGTATCCTTATACTCTTCCTGGAAGATACAAGCAAGAGAGAGCACAGGGAGTTAGAACTGGATAAGAAGAACAAAAAGCAGCTGGATAAGAAGAACAAAAAGCAGCTGGGTGAGCCCAGCCAGGAACACTGGGAAGGTCATCAGATGTGACAGCATTATCTTGGGAGAGCGAGGTTGGCTTTTAACGCCTTTGTAGAGGAATTGCCATTTCTGTAGCAGTGAGAAGGGAAGGTGGCTGATGCAAAAGTGTCATACTCTGCCCTAGAGGCAACCTGGTAGCATTTGCACTGTAGCCATGACTCAGTTGCATTTGGATGTGAGCTGATTCCAAACAAAGAAGGTGTTCCTATCCACACTTAGATTTTCCAGTGAAGATGTTTCCAGTTGTGTTTTCCCAGAGACAGCAATCCCAGGAGGAACTGCAGGGAAGGAGGAAGAGGAGGAGGGTCAGTGTCTTTGCAGACAGCTGCTCCTCTGGGTACTTACTCAAGGCTGGTTGTCTGAACAGAGAAGGAAGAGGATCAGGAGAAGAAAAAATGTGTCTTTGGAGAGCATGAGCATTCTGGGTTTGAAGACCAGATGACAAATACACAACTTGTGAGGTATCGTGCGCTGTGTGTGTCTGTAGCTCCAGTTACCAGCCATGCTGCCCCTGCAGTGGGGTGGGCAGAGTTCCCAGTGTCACCTCACATGCAGGGTCCCCTTGCAGGCAAGTATGTGACTGCTTCTCTTTGCAGCCGGCGTGCATCCCAGAACAGTGTCAAACTGAAAGAGGAGCCTCACTCCAAATCTCCTCCACCAGCCAGTCGCAGCCTTGTCAGGGAGGCCAGAAGGACTAGCTGCGACTGGCGGAGCTCAAAAGATGAGAAGTTTATAGATTTGGAGCCACAGCCTCCAGCAAAGACCAGCCCTGCTACAGACAGCCAGCCTGTCCCTGCCAGCCAGCTCCTGGCCACAGAGAAGGCGGGAGCTAAAGTTGACCCTCTGAAGGAGGAGGAGGACTGGCTGAGTGCTGCCTTGGCTCGCAAGAAATCTCAAGCCCAGGTGAAAGCTTTAGAGGCCCTGGGTGAAGGGCTGGACGTCCACATTTCTGCCAGGTAAAGGCACGGTCAATGGCTGCAGGTCTCCTATCTGCTCCACATGTAGCTGCTCCAGCAGGACTTCTCAGAAATCTTTGGCATAGATTTAGGAAATTAATTCTAAGCACTGTCCTCTCTCAGAATAGGGTAATAACATGGGGCTTTCTACTACTGACCCAGCCCACTGCCTCATCCCAGCTCTGGGCTCTGTTTCCATCTGTGGCCAAGATTGCAACGTGGCCCCAGATCCTGTCCTGGATCAGTACACCCCCAAAAAGCTCCCCCATCCTCCTTGCTCCTACCTCCATTTCCCTTCATTCCTGCTAGTTGCAACTAGCAGTGCGACTGCTGTGCTGAGTTCACCTGGACACAGCTTCAGACTTGTGTCACCCAAATGGGACTCAGAAGTGAATTGCAGACAAACAGCCATATGTCATGGGCAGAGGTGTGTTAGCTGGGGCTGCTGCTGCTGGAGGCAGGAGATGGATGCAGCAAGAAGGAACACCAGTGATGGAGGTTTTGAGGTGTCTGTGCTCCTTCTGAAATCAAAAGCGGAATCCTGCCACAGCCAACCGGGACAGGCTGTCAGCTGTGAGGCAGGAATGGGTTTCAGGGGCAAGGGTCTCATCTTTCATCCTCTCCTTGGCTGTCTCCCATTGGACGCTTTGTTCTTGAAGCCAGGTAGATGCCTCCACAAGAGCACTACAACAGACAGCTACCCCACAGGACAAGGCACAGAGCACAGATGGTTCCAGGTAAGGTCTTGTTTGCCTCTCAGGCATCCTTCATGGGAGAGGTGTCCTGCAGAAAGCAGCTGTGTGTGTGAGGAGAGGGGGGAATGGGGAGAGTGGGTAGCTACCAGTGATTCCTTTGCTCTGGGACCTCTGTATCTGAGAGGGAAGGCAGCTCTGAATCATCAGGCTCTTGCCTATTTGATCCCAGGGGACAGCACAGATTTAAACTGACAAAAATGGCAATCAGGCAAATGCCTGTGCACCTCTCCCTGAGCTGTGACACTGCTGAGCATTACTTGTGTCTCTGTGCCCACGCAGTCAGCCAATCCCTCAACTCAGCACCATGAAAGAAGCCTCAGCAGAACTGTTGCAATCTGCAAAGCCAGATCCCTCCCAAAAGATCAGAGTCCCGGGTGCGTATCATGTGGTTGTACAGTTTGAACAGTCATAGGCAGAGAGGGTCCCCTGCCCTTCAAAAAGAACCCAGCAAAAGGCAGGAGCCACAGCATCACCCTTGACCATGGGAATGCTGCTCAGGCTGTGACCAGCCATCCTCAGAGCAGGTTGTCAGTCTGCAGGATCATGCCATCCCCATTTTGTGGCATGGCAGGGACATGGTGCTGGGGTGCACTGAGCTCAGCAGTGGCCCATGGAGACACAGCAGATTCCCCTTTGGAGTGACAGAGTCAGGAATATGTCTATCTCCACTGTCCTAATCACTCCATGTCTGGTTTCCAGATGAATATACCGTTAAAGGTGCCAGAGCTTTTCAGCCGGCTGATGGTAGCAATTTGAGAGCCCAGGACACCTGCTCACAGGCCAGTGAGAAGTGAGTACCTTTCAGACACATCTTATCACTCTTGGGGATCTCTCTGTAGCTTCCAAGTTCTTCTGATCTGCCTGTCCTTGACTTCTCCACCTCATTCCCTGACCCAATAGCCGTTGCCTGGGAAGGTGAATTATTGGGAACTGGGACCCCAGATCCTGAAGCTTTCCAGCAAGAACTGGGTGCTCCTCAGCCCTGTACATCTTCTGTAAATCTCTGTTGTAACAGTTACTTGTTAAACAGAGCAATTCCCCAACTCTGCTATCTTTTATCCCAGTGCTATTTTCACTTCATTTTTCTGTGTTGTATGATGTGGCTGCTGCACTGTGCCTGCCTGGTCACCTGCACCTCCCCCTGCCTGGCCAGGCTGTCCCCAAGGTACATTCGCCAAGCTCACGTGGGGTGCTGCTAACGCCCAAGCTTGTGTCACAGGTCTGTGCTAGAGGATGATCTCCTCAACAGACTGGAGGAGGACATCGAATTTCTAGAGGTGAGTCCAAATTTCAGGAGAGAGCCTGAGTGTCCCAAGGGCTGGGGCTGAGGCAGGCCAATACTGCCCCTAGTCTCACCCCATTCAAGTCAGCCGTGGGGATCAGGGATGAGCTGTGAAGTTATTTCTAAACAACTGAAAGGGAATTAGAGCTTTCACTGCAGAGGCAGCTCTTGCTTGGTCTTGGAATCCTACATTTCTCATCTAGATGCATCTTCTCACCCTGCCCGGGTGGCAGGATACACACTGCTTCCTAGAGGAATCACACTCTTCTCCTTGAATCTGTCCCCCTAGAACAAAGCCCAGCATCCTTTTGTCTGGGGTAGGGGCTGCTTCTGGGGAGAAAGGACCCATCAGCAGTGGGGTTGGGCAAGAGAAGGATAGAGGTTGGGCTAGGGACAGATTGCTGTTCCAGGGTGAGAAGGAGATGGTCTGTCTGGTGCTTTACCTGCCTGACAGCATCCCTGTGTCCCGTCAGGTTAATGCAGCTGAGTCACATCTCCAGCCTGCATCAAGCTGCTTATTAGCACTGCTCCACATCCAAGCTCATGTGTCACAGCTGGAGGGCCAGGTGAGTCTCATTGCCTGCTGGGTGGGGGGACCACAGGTAATGCAGAGGGAGGAGAAGGGGCCATGTCTGCTCCAAGTAGCATCAGTGACAGGGCAGATAGAAGAAATCTTGCTGTCCAGAGGTGCCTACAGCCCCAAAGTGCTGCTGTGGGAACTCTGTCCCTGGGGTCGCACAAGGACCTTCTCTCTGGGTGTCCGGCAGGTCCGGACGCTGGAGATGGAGCAGGCACAGCTAAGGCAGTTACTGGAGCTTCTCCAGCAGCAGCACCAGGAGGACTTGGATCTCATTGCATGTGCCTACAGGTAGCAGGCTCTGGCCTGTTCTCACCTCCTCTGTCAGCTGCTTACCTACAGCCCTGTCCATCTCCCCTGAAGTGGGAATGCTGGGGTGCTCCCCCAGTCCATCCCTGGTGGGGCCAGAGCCACATAAGTGTGTACCTGGTGGTGGCAGAGAGCAGCCCCACGGGGGGCCAAGGTGGTGGCTCATTCTCATCAACACTGCTATGGGTGACAAGGAGGAGGGGCCAGTCCCACTGCCAGCACATCCCCAGCATGCTGGGTATAGCCAAGAAAGCAACACTCTGTTCTTGCTGTGACCTCTTGGGCAGGAGCAATATGAAGGTGGTGGAGAAGAACGATGGGCAGCAGGAGGAGCGGCTGCAGCAGGAGGAGCAGCCAGCAGCTCAGCTCCCACTGCAGAGGCAGGACATGGCCCCAGCACAGCAACATCCCATGTCCCAGGAGCAGGAAAAGCATCCCATGTCCCAGAAACAGGACAAGCAGCTCAAGGGTACGTGTCATCAAAGTGGGATTCATTCCTATGGAACCTACACCTGTAGACCCTCACCTCTGCTAATGAATTTATTGGAGAAAGGCTGGCAAAGCCTTGCTTGCCTTGGCCACCCAACATCTCAGGGTCTCCCCTTGACAAAAGAGAGTCTTGGGGATGTGCAGCAGGTGGTAAGCACAAGTAGGTGCAGTTTTTCTGTGAATATGGTGTGGATGGAGTGGGGATATCCCAGCTCATGGTGCTCATGGCTCTGCTGCTGCCTATCCTCCAGAGCTCCAGGACAGGCTGTCACAGCAGCAGAGGGACATGGCAAAGGAGCGGAACCAATTCCAGGAGGTGATTGCAAAACTGGAGGCCAGGCTGAGTGAGCAGACTCAGCTGCTGGAGCAGGTTAGCCCAGTCTGTGTCCTCTGCCCACTTCAGCCTTCCTGTGTGGGTATGGGTCATGTGCCTCACCCACTGGAGTCTGGGAAGGGCATCTGTCTCTCCTCCGTGTCTGAACCCAGGAGCGCGGCAGGGCCATGGTGGAGGAAGCCAAAGCAAAATCATTGCAGTGTTCACTGGAGAAGCAGCGACAATGCATGAAGCAGCAGCTCTCCATGGAGCGAGAAGAGCTGAAGAGGGTGAAGGTGAGGGCAGGTGCACATGGCCAGGTACTTTTCACTTGTGCTGTCAGTCGGTGCAGCGCTGTACTGCAGCGTGTGATGACAGAAAGAGCTGGGTGCTGCAGCCTCCTTCATCTGACCTGTGCTTTCTTCATTCCACACCTGCTCATGTGGGGAATCACCACCCAAACAGCCTCCTAGCGTGCAGATGCCAGAGGCTGCTATGTGCCTGCATGACATGCTGGTTCTTGAGGAGCAGAAGCCAGAGCTCTCTTTGCAGAGTTCTGGCCATAGGCCAGATACTGTGTGGGGTTTAATGGGAATGATGCGTCAAATGTGAAAAATACCCTGGCAGGTGGGACTTAGGGCTTCTTCTCTGCCTCTCTTGCCATGCTCTCCAGAACACTTTGCTGGAGGAGCAGAAGTCAATGCTGCAGAAGTGTTCAGAGGAGCGAGGGAAGCTGGAGGCTGAGTGGGCAGAATTCCACACACAAGAGAAGC